TAAAATTTCCCTTTTCAGTCCCCCAAAAAACCCTTTTCCACAAAAATATAAAGCCAAAAAGTAAAAACCGGGGGGGGGGGTCCTCTATAAAGTAGAGTGGTAGCTATTGAAAAGAGGGTCATTTTAATTTAGAGTTATGAATAAATTTAAATTAATTAATTAAATTAATTAATTAAATTTAAATTTGGTTAAATTGGAGTTCAGAAAGATTTGGAATTGATTTATTTATGTATTTTAAAGATAAGACTATTGGGCAATTGTAGCAAATTTATTAGAAGATTATGTTACTATGTTTGCTAAGATTATGAGGCCTTACTTGTGAATGTTTTGTAAGCTTCTCACTGGCTACTGTAGGAAGCAATACATTTGTTTTATTTAGTTTTCTGCTTAATTTAATAAATATCAGTCTGAGTCCCACTTTTTTTCCTTTGTTCTTCCCCACTTTTTCATGTTGAATGCTATCTTCAGCACGCTATAAAAAAGACTAAATGTAGAAATGACAAAAATACATCCTGGTGATCCTTGTCTTAGATTCACCTATGAATTAGAATTAAAATTAACATTTCTTTGAATGTTACACTGCAGTTCATTACTATCAGAATGGCATGTTTAAATAGTATTTTAAGAAAAAAATGCATGTTTCAATGCAAATTAAAACATATATTTTAAAATGTGGTTTGGGAGAAATAGTTTTAAAAAGAAACGGCAGATTAATCCAGAAATGGATGGAAATGTGTTAATCCTTCAAATATCTAATAGGCTTTTGTTTTGTAGGGCAGAGGAACAAAACATTATGGCCTAATTGTAGTGGGCCATTCCTTAGGAGCAGGCACAGCGGCCATTTTGTCCTTTCTGTTACGTCCACAGTATCCAACTCTAAAGTGCTATGCCTATTCTCCACCAGGTGGGCTTCTAAGGTAGGTATTTATATCTAGAAAATAAGAGAAAAGGGGGCTCTAACTTCTGAGATCTCATCAAACTTTGGCAACATATTTTCAAACTTTCATTTGCAGTTTTAAGGATAGATACTGACTTTTTTAACTCCCCTGTAGTAATAGGATTGTTATACTACATGTCTTCCAAAGACATTCTAGCAATCTCTTTGATTCTGTTCATTCACCTTATCCATTATCTTCCATTTCTATTTGTCACAGCCTTGCCAAGTACAACTGTTTTTTCTTGTCCATCATGAGCTAGCATCATAAGCTAGCTAATGTGTCATACCTACCTCTGGTAAATCCTTAGATGAGGAGGAAGAACATTTGCTGAAGCATGGCCCAGAAAAATCAGACAAGGCACAGCCTCCAGATGAAACTGAGACTGGGCCATCAGTCCTCCTGGAAATTGAGTTAATCAGAAAGACCTACCAGATGCTGCCTGCCCTTCTCCCCCAGATTCTAAGAAATTCCAGCCACTGAGGATACAAAAGATATGTGAAAATTCTGCAAATTGTGGGGTCCTATCATAGCAGCTGTCCTCTGGAACATCATACTACCCAACATTAGGTTAACCCTGACCCTGTTGGCCTTTTTGAAAGCCCTTAAGATGTGGCTCTTTTCCCAGTCATGTGGGTTACATGAGCCCAGATGGGTTGCTTGCTGGTTTCCTTGGTTGCCAGAGTATGTTTGTCCTTGTCTTTGGTGATTGTTTGGTTACTATAGTTTTAAATTTTATTAACCACCCAGAATCACATTTGGGAGATGTATAGCCATATAAATTGGTTAAGTAAACAAACAAAGAAACATTCTTAGGCAATTACCAAAATTGCACTCAGAGTAGATGGCCCGTACTAAATAATTTAAGTCTATGCCTGGCAGTCTTTCAGTGAGGCCAGCAACTGTAGGTTAAGACTCAGCTATTCATGATTAGTCCTTGTTGTGATATGCTAATTTTTCAACTACTGACCTTGCTTTCATTTAAGAGTCTCTCTCTTTTCTTTTTGACTCTGAGTGTGTGAACAGTAATCTATGACCAGTATATAAGTCAGAGTATAATCATCACCTTAACCGAGCAATCAGTCTTTCTTTTTTCCAGGACCATTGATGGATTTGTTTTGCTGTCCTGGGTGTTCTTACTAATGATCTCCAGAGCCATCATTCAAAGATGTCTATCTTGCTCTTATTCTTTCAAAATATCATTCTTCTTGCTTTTGTCCAAGTTTGTCACTGCCTTCCTCCCTAGGAGTAATATCTTCTTGATTTCTCCATCACACTGTTCAAGTTTATTTTTGAGCCCAAGAAAATTAAAATTCCATAAGTTCACAAAGAATTCTTGATTACATTACATTTGTGTTCTTGATATTTGACATTATCCCAGATTTTTCTTTTTCTTTTTCATTTTCCATTTTTACTTTCATAATTAGGTCTTTTAACTGTTCACTTTCAGCTGCATATCCTAAATTATTAGTGTTTCAACCTCCAATTTTGAATTCATCTGTCATCTCTTCCAGACCTGCCATTTGTATATTTGCTATACAAGTTAAATAGATATGGGAACACAATAAAACCTTATCTTCATCCTTCATCTATTTTCTTGCTCTGTCCCTTATCCCTTTTATGTCAGCTGTAGAGTTTGTATCTTTGCCTTTTTTAAAACCTTCCTGTTCATTTGGCGTTTCTCTTTTTATATGTTGCACTATTCTTTTCTGTAAAGTCTTAAGCAAAACTTTGCTTGTGTGAGGAATTAGTCCAGTGGTTTGGTAGTCTGTGCATTTTTTGCATCTCTTGCAGCTTCCTTTTTTGGTGTACGTTGATCTTCTCCAGTCTCTAGGCCATATAGTATTCTTTCATATTTGTTATCATAGAAGTGTTAGTACTTTAACTGCCTCTTCTCCTGCAGTTTTAAACGCTCAGCAGATGTTTCATCTATGCCTTGGTACCTTCCTATTTGTCAGCCAGTCTAATGCCTTTGGTAGCTCACTTTTTAATGGAAATGTCTCCTGAATATGTATTCACTCCCCACAAATCTTCTGTCATACTATAATCCTATGTGTAAAGTATTTCAGCACTGACTTTCCCTTTTCTTGTAACCTCATATGGCTCTATTAGATCTCTTTTATGATTTCTCTTGAGTATTCCTATCTTAGCTGTACATTTTTGTGTCCTACGACTTCTCTGATTTTATGAAAAACATATTTTACTTTCCTTGTTACTTTCTTCTGTTAACATTCTTGACTGAGCTTTTTTTTTTGCCTGACTTGAATATGTACATCAGTCATCATACATCTTTCTTGTTGCTTAAGTTTTTCATCCTCCATCTTTTCCTTGCTGTTACAGTAGCTTGTTCTGAAAGTCACATGGATCTTTTCCTCTTTGACATTTTGGGATTCTTTTCTGCTCCAGTTTTCACAATAATTCCTACACCTCCTCAGCTTTTCTTTCCCATAAAATAAGGATACTGAACTTGTTACACTGATCTTATATTCCGACTGTGTCCTGCATGTCAAATCTTGCTTTTTAAAAAAGATAATAAAAAACTTTAATGTGTATTTTTGTCACTAATAATTCTTGGTTTATTCTGTAATCTGCACTTGGAAGTAAAATAGCTAACTGGATTGCATTTCTCCATCTTTTGTTGTCTATTAGTAATTGATTTGATTCCAGCATTGTCTACCCTGTGATGTCAAGGTGTAGAGTCTTGTAATTCTAGGTTTCTTAGTTTCTCCAACTTCTACCTACTAATTACCCATTAGTACTACATCCTTTCTGGATGTTGCATTTAGCAGTTCTTGCAGTTTGATACAGAATTCTTGTATGTCTTCCAACCATTTCATCTGTAGAAAAATAAACACTTGTGTAACTTTGACATGCATTGAAATCCATTAATTCTAATAGATGTGATCCAGGCATTTATTGGGTTATAGCTGAGCACACACTTGACAATGCTCTTTTTGAGTAACATTACCACTCTATTTGTCTAGGTTAACCCCTGCCCTGAATAGTGTGGCATGTAAATTTCTGATTTAAACTGGCCCATTCCTGTCCATTTCAGTTCACTTATTCCTAAAACATCCAGCTCTCTTTATTTCTGCTTTGGCAATTTCAGTTTTATTCTAGGTTCATGCTTCTCACATACATTCTGATTAAATGTATCCTTATAAAACAAGAAACTTCTCTTTCAATATTTGTACAATGTAGCACTCAAACATCCTTGCAGCATTGATCTGGCCAAGTCATCTCTTCTAGATCTACTTATAAAAGTTAGATATTCTTCCCCACTACTAGAGGAGTGCTTTCCAGCCTGGGAATTTTACCATCTGCCACCTAAACATGCCCAATTTTTCAGCCATATTCATACAGCTTTCTTGGCAGCAGTAGAGAAGTGGTTTGTCCTTGTCTTCTTCCAAGTTCGATTTAGTAATTCCTTTTTCTGGGTGGCAGAACCTCGCTTGACCTTACCTCAGTTTGGATTATCCTTGGCCTCAGCCCTCCCTTTCAAGTTTACCAGCAAGGGTGACCCTCCCTGGAGCTCATGTTCCCCTTGGCATTGCTTTCAACTCATGGAAGCTACTGAATCCCCCTGTTATTTTAAGGTAGCAATCCCCTGAGAGTAAAATTACATGTACCCTTCAACAACTGTAAATGTAATTGTATTATTATGTTTCATCTCCTTGCCCCTTCCCTTTCAGTTCTTTGTTTAAATATATATATTTAAGTTGTGATCAGAGGCGTCTTCTGATGAAATGGCAAACACTTGATCTATTAGGGTTTGTGCTAGCCTCAGCAACTTCTAAAAATGGGCTAGGAGAAATGCAGTCTTTTTTTCTTTTTTCTTTTGGTGGTAATACAACTTTAAGAACACCAGAGCAAAAGGTTTCCTGGTTTTGCATTTCTTTCTGTGCATTTCTCTGTATAAAACAACCTCTTAATAAACCTATGAAGTAGTCTTTTGATTCCTAGGATTAAATTTTATCTAATTAATTCTCTCCAAGTTGCTTTAACTTGATATAGAAGTTAACACTGTCAATAGTTCAGACTTTGAACATTGATTTTTTTATGTGTGATATTTAAAAAAAAACAATAAGGGTATTGGATTTATTAGATATTGGCCATTTTTACATAGTTAATATTGGCACAATTTTCTTGTATCCTTTTCTTACAGTGAGGATGCTATGGAGTACTCTAAAGAATTTGTGACTGCAGTTGTGCTAGGCAAAGACCTTGTTCCCAGGCAAGTCAGTTAATTTGGAATTCTTTATTTCATTTTTCTTCTGTTTTATACCAAGCTATAGATGCCTTGTCTCAGTTCCCAATTAACATCAGTTTCATTTTCCATATAACAACCCCCATATACTTCTTACTTGACACTCTCTTCCTAGCTACCTACCCATTTTACTGTATCTTTTACTTAGACACATACAGTAGTTTAATGTACTACATACCAGTGTATTGGTATATCCCTTCCCTACCTCTCAGCTGCCTGTATTACTGAAAAGGGTGATTATTCTAGTTCCACATGTACAAATATGTACCACCTCCTTAGTTATTTGTGCTGTCATTTACGCATTTGTACTCTCTCCCAGGTCACTTCTCCTGAGCCATCTTACACCTGTGAATTATCTCCTGGCTATATCTTCTGTGCCATCTCCCATCTATGCACTTTATCTTGATCTCTGAGTGTTGTCATCTTACTCCTGTCTAGCATCTTTGTATTATGTGAGCTGTGTCATCTTACAGTTGTGTACAGTTTATTGTTTTACGTATATTATCATTCCTTGATTACCTGAATGTTACTTCATTTCAGATGTGTGCATTGTTCCTTGCTATTTTTTTGCAGTCTCCTTGTCGTTGTAGCTAGAGTGCAGTTATGAATCATTGCACAGTATTTTTTAATTCACAGAACCAAGAACAAATAATTCTCAGGTAGTTATATTAGCAAATTTGATAGTTAAGGAGAATGAGTGGTGGTGAGCAAGCAACTTCACTATAATGGAAGTTATAGTGGAGACAGATGTGAAGGGGAAAATGTGTAGCAAATCTTCCAGCAGAAAATTGCTGAGCAGTGCATTGGTATTTTGGTTCTTATAAAAGATCCAGGATATTGGCAGGAATGAATGGCTACAGAGAAAAAGATTCAACTGACTTTCAGTAATAATCACAATTTCATTTTCCCAATAGAAGCAGAAATATTAATACCATTTATTTGTATAACCGATGAATTCTGTGAATGAAAAATACTGGAGCATACTTTCATAATTTTATAGAGGAAAACCTCTCTGTATCTGCTAGTATGAATAGTGATTTGTTTCATTTTCTTGCTTAGTTCACCTGTGATGTGAGCTCTAAAATCTCATTCATGTCCTAGGGTCCATAATTCACCTCTCTATCATGCAGTAACTTTTCCTGCATATATTTCATTATGCTTTTGGATTCCTACTCTTAGAATAATAAGCAAATGTTATTTGCTTAGCCTTTGAACTCTGGTTATAAATCATGTATCTAAATATAGCTATCTAATGGATAATGGATGAAGTCCAGTATATTTGTATACTTTATCCTTGTATTGTGTCATGGGTAAGTTATATCTGATTCCATCTCTCTTTGCTTTTCTATTTATGATTCTTATAATAGTTATACCTGCATCATTGCATCTGATACTCTTTATCATTCAGGATTGGCCTCTCACAGTTGGAAGGATTTCGCCGGCAGCTTCTTGATGTTTTGCAGAGAAGTAACAAACCAAAGGTAAGAAGTTTTCAAATCTGTCTGGAATGAAAGTATTTGTATTAAAACTGTTTTTTCATCTGTTTTTGTTTAGGACTTCATGTGCCAACTATAGTTGTCTTGATCTTTGATATATTGTTGATATTGGCTGTTAAGAGAACTTCACACTTTGGATGTGGTACAAGTCTTGTAGCCTGCCCACCTCCATCACAACTCTAGGCAGTGTACAATATAGACAGTTTAAAACAATTCAACAATGCATACTCCCATAGCTTAGTCTGCCATTCTTCTAACGAAGGAATTATGTGTAATTTCAAGAAAGAAGTATAAAGTATCCTAGCAGCTGTTATCATGTGCAAAGCCAACTCTATATACTTTGTAGGAATATGAAGCTTAGTAATGCTTAACAGAAAAACAGCTGGGAAGGAAAACAATATATTGAAATTTGTTTCATTCTATGGCAAATCATCTTCCAGAATTATTGAGCTTGATGACATTGCCACCAAGTATGAAAAAAATATTCAAGCTGATTATTGCATTTCCAGAAGTTTTTTACAATATGAATTATCTATTTTGGCAATCAATACTGGAGTACTATACCAATGAAAAATATATTGTATCAATTTTCTCTAAACTTTTGCAGTAAATTTGATATTTATCTTCCATTGGTATTCCCATTGTTGCTAGTTTTAAAAATGTTGGTATTCTTAACTGGACCTACTTTCAAACTGATACTTTATTTAAAATGTGTTCCTTGCATAGTACTTCAGGTGCTCTAATACACCATTGAGAGAAAATAGTTTGATGACCATTATACCTACATTAGTGTCAGGACATATTTTTAAAGATTTAGGAAGCGAAGAACATGTAAAGACTTTAGCTTATTGTTGTGGTATGTACACATGTATGTATGTATATTTATATATTTATTAGATGTATATCATGCTTTTTCTCCAGGAACTCATGACAGCCTATATAGCACTCTGTCTTCAAGTATTTTCCACAACAACAACCCTGAGGTTACATTGGGCAGAGAGAAAGTGACTGGCCCAAAATTATCTAGTGAGCTTCAGTGATTAAGGATGGACTTGAACCTGAGTCCTTCCAGTCCTTATCCAACATTTTAACCACCATACCACAGTTTCTGTGGAATAAACCAATATATGTAGATGCAGAAGTAAAAGAACACATGAATTAAAAAAAAAATGGGGCTGCAGCTGTAGTATACTGTATTGATGGATTTCTGCTATTCTATTTGCAAACATATTCTAGTTAAATAAAGGCAGCTGTGTATGTACATGATGTTAAGTCTAGATGGACAAAAACTTTCAGTCTGCCAAGCTGGGTTACTGTGGCTTCTATTCTGTATATATATTATAACTTTAAAGATGAAAACCATGAGAAAATGTGTGATTGCTATTTTCTTTCATATGCTAGCTTTAATAGTGATCATCTCACACTCCTTCATTCCTTTTTCTTTCTTGGATAGTGGAGAATCATAGTTGGTGCAACCAAATGCATACCCAAGTCTGAGCTTCCTGAAGAACCTGAAGGGAACTCAGTAACCAGTAACCGCCTCTGGACCCATCCTAGTGATTTAACTATTGCCCTCTCAGCCAGCACACCTCTCTACCCTCCTGGGCACATCATCCACGTGGTTCATAATCATCCTGTTGAACAGTGTTGGTAGGCAAAACAGGGAATAATGGTTGGCAAAGTTATCAGGGTTTTTTTAGGAAAAAAATGAGAAGTCTGTTTTCAAAATCTCTCTTAGAACTTTTAATATTGGTGATGCTTACTGATGGTGCTGTATATATTGCCGTTGTTACTTCCCAGGGAATTGTGGTTTGATTTTACTTGTTCTGCACACGCTGCAAAATTAAATAATTATCTCTCCTCCCCCCCACCTAAAAAAACAAGTACAAGGGAACAAAAAGTTTAAAGCTGGATAAAGACAGCGCACACCCAAATTGTTGCAGGTAATTGTGTCAGTCATTTCAATTGACCAAAACTGAAAAGTCCTTTAACAAAGGCGGTTCACTCTTGTATTCACATCTACAAAGCAGCTGAGCATCTCTGTTTATTTGATGAAAGATCAGGTACAAAGTTGAATTTCTGAATCAGATGTAATTACAGTTCAACTAAGAGCTAAGATGTGGGCAAGTTCCTGACACTTTTTCATTAGTTTTTTAGCTTTGCAGTACAGTTATGCTTAATGTCTATTGACAATCATGCGTCTAAGGAAATATATTGTATAATATTTGTACATAGTTATACCATAAAAGACCACATTATGCAATGAAATAGTTTATTTAGCATCTTGATTCTTGAATTAAAAAGTAATCTAAAGGAAATGCTGTAGTTACAAGGCAGAGGATTTGAATGAATTATTTGTGTTTACTCTGCTTGTATCACACAGTAGTCTCACAAAGTGGTAAAGTAATTAAAAGCGATAGTTAATGACTGCCTCATCTGATATCTTTTATAGTTGCTGTGATCAGGAAGAACCTACGTACTTTGCCATTTGGGGAGACAACAAAGCATTTAATGAAGTGATAATTTCCCCAGCAATGTTGCATGAACATCTGCCATATGTGGTAATGGAGGGTCTTAACAAGGTAATAATCAGTCTCTGATTTGGGTGAAGAATTAGAAACATCATGCTGAGTGTCTGGATGAGAAGGACTAATGCTGATTCTATGGTTTACAGATACAGAAGGACATAGTGTAGCAGAAAGTTTTCATGCACATATCTACATTTATATAAAACATGCACACACACACACACACAGAGGCATACACACACACACACACACACACACACACACACAATCCTTCTGTTGAGCTCATGTACTGAGAAATGCTAATGCATCACTTTTGTAAAACCAGACCAAGATGTCATTTGAGCAACAAATTGAAATTCTACTGATTATATTGAGCTATGGTGCTTTTCTAGAGTATAATAGTTTCTTATCCATCTTGCCACTGATAAGATCTTAATTATACTACACTTCACATGATCTATTATATTACACTTTAACATGATCTATATCTGTCTTGGCATTCGTTTAATGCTACTGAACAATAGAAGACAGATTAGAAATGAAAACACAGCAAAGTTATTATTCACTAATTTACTTTGCATAGGTCCTGGAAAATTACAACAAGGGCAAAACAGCTTTACTTTCTGCAGCCAAAGTGATGGTGAGTCCTACAGAAGTGGACCTCAACCCGGAATTAATCTTCCTGAATCAACCCCTGCCTAGTAGACCTTCTGTGCAGATTGGAATTGGAGACATAGCAGTGGATAGAAGGAACAGCAGTACTAAGTAAGGATATGGCTCTGATTTTCTAGAAAGGCTTACGAGGGCTGCTGGTGATCTTATTCCTTCCTACTGTCCTGTTGGTGAATATCATAATTCATAAATAAAGAGTTGTGCCTTCTGAATACTCTTCTGTAGCTTGTTCCAGGAAATTACAGTGTAGCCTTACATTAGTCTCACATATTTGTATTCTCCTTTTGCAGGAGTAAGGCTCACTCTGAAATCAGTTTGGAAGGGTTTTATGAGACCAAGCTTCTGTCTCCAGTGCAGAAGGATCCTGTGGAGATCCTGCTACTAGATACCAAGGAGCGCCTGTCTGTAGAACTGCAGGACCGGCGTGCTCCTCTTGCTACAATGGAGAGCCTATCTGATAATGAATCCATCTATAGCTTTGATTCAAGGCGTTCCTCTGGTTTCCGTAGCATTCGTGGCTCACCCAGCCTCCATGCAGTCATGGAAAAAGATGAAACTCACTGTTTTTATATTGATCCAGCAATTCCTGAGGAGAACCCCTCCCTCAGCTCACGGACAGAACTGCTTGCTGCTGACAGCCTCTCCAAACACTCCCAGGAGACTCAACCTCCTGAGGGCCTGCAGAACAGCGGAGGCACCACTCCTCAGCGGCGATGCAGTGATGAAGGCGCTGGTAGTGATACAGACCATATTTCCTTTACTCGGGAAGAATTGACCCTCCAAAATGGGAGGCTGAGTGATGCCCCCAGCCCACAAGTGTTGGAGTTTGCAGAGTTTATAGATAGTCTCTTTAACCTGGACAGCAAAAGCAGTTCCTTTCAGGACATTTACTGCATGATGGTATCGGACAGCACCAGTGATTTTGCTGAGATTCCCAAGTCAGTGAGTGACCAGGAGATCTTGCTAAGAGCACAGTATGAGCCCAACTTAGTCCCAAAGCCCCCCAGGTTATTTGCAGGCTCAACAGATCCTTCCTCAGGCATATCCGTTTCCCCTTCTTTCCCTCTGAGTTCTTCTGGAGAGCTTATGGACCTCACTCCTACAGGCATGAGTAGCCAGGAATGCCTAGCCACTAACAAAATCCGGACTTCCACTCCCACTGGAAATATGACCAGTCCTGCCAAACAAGAAGACCTTGTGATCTCAGCCCTCTAATATAGGAGAGAAGGGCCAGAGTAGCAAATCCTATAACAGTGAATCTTGGGATAGCGCTTGGAGGAGCTGGTCTCTGGGCAAGTGAGAATGGGTGAAAATGCATGGGGAAGCACAGTTTCCCCTCCTGGGTGCTACATTAATGGCACTACAAAGGATTTCAGCATGAAGGATGCCACATATTGGCTCAAGTTCTTTAGTTAGGGAGAAAATCACTGCCTAACGCAGCTTGCTGCTTTTTCAGGGTCTCGTTCACTGAAGTTAGATGATTGGTTTCCCTACCTCAGCATATTTCTTTAAACAAGAAGGCAGACTCATTGCCTTTCCTGCTGAAATTATGAACGTACTGTCTATGGGCTAGATGATTAGAGTAACTGAAGCTAAAAGGTCTGATAATGTCCAATAGTCATGTCAAAATCAAGGAAATTGTGACATTGGGCTTTATTGCACTAGTGTGTCATGTTTGATCCAAGTACCTGTTTATTGTTGTCATCATGATTTTTTTATGACATGCTCTCCTGTTTTATAGCCATTGACTGTGTTCCAAAGGAATGCAGCCTCCCACCTCTAAACCCTAACTGGGTGCAGTGAGAATTGGGATGGGGCAACCTGTGCTCCTCCAATTAGCTCTGTGTTCAGTGATATCCACACTTCTTCTAAGAAGAAAGAAAATACATGTACTGGAGAGTTGAAGGCCATTTCCACCTTTCATCACCCGCTGGAGGGGTGAACAGTCTCTTGGGTCTCACATTGTTGCACAGCTCCCCTAACCACTATGAAATAGAGACAATCTTGCTCTCCAACATAACTGTCATCTCTATTTGCATGGATTGATTGGTTTAAACTAGCTTTTGTTTTTCAAGAAGCTTGCCAATTCCCTGCATTATTCCCCAGTCCTTGAGTATGGAACTATTTTGTTCCCATTTATAATTGCAGTATAATATTGTCTGTCTCTGAGTTCAGGAAAAAGAGGGACTTTTTACTGCATATTGAAGTTTCATGTATGTTTACAGATCTACTAAGCATTTGGGAGGTAAACAGGAAATCTCTACTTTTGTGAGGAAAAGGTGCTCTCTGCCCTTCCCATTTCTCCATCAACATGGGGTCTAAGTCAACCATGGAAAGAATAGGAAGAATTGCTGTTACATATCCTTACTAGAAAGTAAGACTAGAATGTTGGCATTAACCCTCTGTGTATGCATCCTAACACCCAACTGAATATCATGGGCTTATGAATATGAGGTAACTGCACAACAGCAGCTCCTGAAATTTCTTCTCAGCTATTAATCCTGCAGTTTGGTGCTCACAATTAAGTTCATGACAACAGGGTGACACTGTGTAAAATTGCAGGGATTTTCCAATGGTGAAATTGGGAGTGAAATAGCATTTATGTAGAAGTCAAACATACTTGATCTACAATCTTGTATTGTACTAAAATATATCTGAATATGACAATGCCACAGAAAATTCTTACTTCAGGCTATTTCAGTATACAGTCTCTGGGTTCTACAAAGTATACTAGACACATCTCACAGGCCATGAAGTTATGTCCTTGGTAAATCCCTTAGGTTTGCAGCCGTAAGCCTCCAAGTAGGCTGTTAAAATAAAGGGGTTTTGAGGAATTTGTTAGCCTCCCATGAATGATTAGTATGCTATGTTATGCTTAGAAGTTGGATGTTGTGAAGAAGATTGAGAAAAACTGTACACTTTGTGGTAACAGATAATGTAATCCTATGCATGTCTACTTGTAAACAGTCTCAGTGGGTTCAGTGAGACTTTTTCACAGGTAAGTGTGCTTAGAATTGCAGTCTTAGTTCTAGGAGACTGTCTACATTCAAGTTGTTGCCTTGTATACTTTAATACTGCATTTATTTGAAATAAGTGCAATTTACTTGAAATAGGTCTACAGTAAACTCAGTGTGACTTCCGTTTGAGAAAATGCATTGAATTGGGCTGCAAATATGTGGTTATAAAATAGTACACTTATATTGCATTAATGTAACTGAATTTACAATATGAAGGATGCTGTTGAAATTGGGGCCTTTTGTTTTTATATGCTGTTCAGTGAGAGAGGGGTTAACCCCTATCTTAAAGTAATTATGCATTGGAATTATAAACTTCTGCACTTAAAAAACAATAATTTAATGATTTAGGGTTGTTCCAGTTTGTTTTATAGCTTTGTTTTCAAATGTTTCTCTTTTTCCAAGAATTCTTGCAACAATCAGGTAGAATTATGTCCATCATCAAAAAAATTCTATGTATCTTGTTGAATAATTAGTAACTGCTTTTATAGTGAATACAAGAATAGTTGTTCTCACTCACTTAGATTACCGTAAACATCTGCTACCTAGGCCAAGGCTAACAAAATGTTCTTCACTAAAGGCATGGTGGGAATAATATTGAGTTATTAAAGGTAAATTCATATTTCCAAACATTCAGGTATTCTTTTTGATGAAAGCACATAATAAATATTTGTAATGACATTTGGAAAGGAAGATATATTGGTAAGTTTAAGCTGCAGGTACCTATAATGAGTTAGACTCTCCAGATTGGGTGGCTTAAAGATCTGATATAAACCATCCAAATTGGGTGGTTTAAGGATCTAATATAAACCATGTAGTCAGTTAATCTCATAAAAGCAATGTTTTGTAAATTGAACTATATTCAGTGATTAAGTTAGGGCTACAATGTCTGGTTTGCAAAAATCCTTTTTGGTAATATCTAATGGTTATCTGAAGATAGCCCTAGCTAATACTTAGCACCTAGAGATTTCTTTAAACATCAAAGCACTTTACAAATTAAATGAATCTTCCCAAGCTAGGTCATAAGAACATCAGATGGGGAGAAAGAAAGGGTTTGTGCTTGTATGTGCAAGAAGCCTATCTAACTTATTAGATGGAGGTAGGGCTGTTTCTAACAAAATATACTAAGGCTACATAACATAGGCTTCTTGCCTAAAATAATTATTTTAGGTTTAGAGAGTAAGGACAGAAAACAATCAGGTAGCTGGTGTAGCTTTGCTTGGGGAAGAGTTTAATTTGTTTTCCTGGTGGTAGATCAAGCTATTGCACTACAATGTCATGTCTGACCTGAACACAATTTAACTGTCATTTCTTAGGGGTTGTTGTTGTTACTTTTATTTTAAACTTGTTTGATAGTATCCTTAGGGTGTTTCTTGCTCTCTTTCTTGTCTGGAGCAGGAAGAATCTATCTTAACTGGGTCCCAGATTATCTGTATGATTTGGGGACTTTGTTCAAACAGGAGAAACATATCAATTCTGGTGACTTATATTCTTCAACTGATCATGAGTGGCTACAGTAAAATGGGGACCGACTGGGAACATTTAATTGTATCAGTTCACAACATCTCATTTGCCCTATTTATTATAGATTTATTCTTTATCATATTCTCTTAGTGCTAATTGACCCTTTTAGTATAAATCTAAGTAGTATATAAACATTTCCAGCAATATCAATATTCATTCCAACCGGAAATGATCTACGGCTGACATATAAATTCAGTGGCCTGTTGAGTTTCATGCCTAAACATGCTACTACCTCTTTCATTCCTAGAAAATGCTGCTGCTCACTACATATATGCTCCCTGTGCTTTGGCAGATGGGTTTTCATACATTTTTTTCCCTTAGGTCTGAAAAGTGCCACTTTATTTAGTTATCATCTATTATTGTTATACATTAATGGTTATTAGATTTTGGATGGAAATTATACCACTCTGATGAATGTTTGAAGCAGAGTCAGCCAACTGATTTACACTAGCAAGTTGGATTTGTGCACTTTAACAATTAAGTACTAAAAGCAAAAGTCCCTTAAATACACTGATGCTGCTTTGCCAAAGATGCCCTCGCAAAGAATATCTTTCAGCTGACATTTTACAATTTAACACAGCTGGGCAATCTGGATCTTTTGCACTGCAGTAATATAGGATCCAGTCATTATAGCTAATGGATGGAGATTCCAGAGGCAGTGAAGGACAGGAAGGCCTGGCACGATATGGTTCATGGGGTCCCAAGGAGTCGGACATGACTTAACGACTGAACAACAACAACCAGACTGTCAGTCTCTGAATGTGGCTAAAGAATATCTGTGACACATTTTATCAATAAGTCTTTTATTGTGCTTAGATATAAGTGCATAACAAGTAAAAATACTTATAATAAAGTTTCTATTGACTGAGTAGCCATCATGGAATATAATCAGGAACACGTATAGAAAACATAACTGCATTTTGATTATTAATTGCACAACTTAAAATATTTTCATTGCTGTTTAGATGAATGGTAGTTGAAGATTGCTTCCATTATAACTGAAAGATGGTATTTTTCAAATATGCCCAGATCAACAGTATTGTGCTAGTTCTTCTGAACATGTTTGTTCCAGACATAAATCCTATTATTGAAAGATTTGTACTAAATGTGATAAATGGAAACTTCATCTTCTGGTACTTCATATGGTTTTAAATATACATTGGTCTTTCCATAATTTTATTCCTTTTCAATAATCTGCAGTTTGGTGATTTCCATTTCCGATTCTGCCATGCTACCTATAATTTTTCAAATATGTTCATTATAATTATACTTTATCATCTTTCCCCCTGTACTCTTGATGTTAAATACTCCTTTTCTTTGCCATCATCTAATCTTAGTTAGTACTGGATGCATCTTGTTGTTTCAAAAACCTGTGTTCTCACTTTTCAAGCTTTTCCACGTTTTAAAATTCAAAACTATCCATGAGAGTGCTTCTGTTGCAAGCCTGTTTTCCAAGAATTCAAATTACCATGTTCAGATTGCAATTCTTCCAGATAGCACATCCTTTGTTCTTTAGATTGCCATGGAAAATATGATTACATAAGTGTTACTGAATAATGCCTTTGATGAGCACATAATTTCTCCTTCATATATTTTGAAAACTTCTGGGTCTTTTGTCTTTTATTTCTTTGTGCAATTAATTGCTGTTTCTCCTACTATGCAACTGAAATTTTGAAGCATCAAAGATCAGCTTTAAAAAACACATGAGGTATGACTACATGCTACATTTCTCATTTGCCCTACAATTTCAGGAAGCCTGATGTATTGTCTCTATTTCAAAGTCAGCATAAAGCATTCAAAAAGACTTCTCACTTAATAGGAAAGATGGTGGATGGCAGCTAGAATCTTCATCCTTAATATTGGGGGGGGAGAGGTACTGTGTAATGTGTATTACTAAAGATAAAACTGTATATAAGTAATCCTGTGAAACAATTTTACACTTCCATAGTCCATCCAGCCCAGTATTGCCTGTTCTAGACATGTTTTTCCAGTGTCTCAGGCAGAGGTTTTTGGACTTGTTAAAGATTGAATCAGGGATTTTATACAGACAAATTATGTGTTCTACCATTGATTTATGGCTTTTAACAATAATAATATTAGCAAAATAGTCCTTGATTAAAGATTAATCTAGGAAGCTCTAAATTCAGACTGAAAAATAACCAAATGATTTCACCACAAAACATATAGTTAATGTTCCGTAGAATTTAATATATGATATTTAACTAAATCATATTTTCCATTAAAGCCTCAAACATGGGGCCTATTAAAGCCTAGAAACTTGTATAACAGAAATCTGCAGGTTTTTTGTTCAGTCTGTCTCTGATGTCCCTTGTTTCCAATTTGTAATTATTTTTTTTTTCTTTAGCAACAAGTACTTTAGGTTTTGAAAGGATTTCTAGGCTAAGTAATTTATTATTGCCAATATAGTAAGTGACATTGAAATATTTAAATCTCTGCCATGTGGAAAGAATTTGCTTGTTTTCCCAAAGTGTACAAATTAAGATATCTTATTGAACATAGTGTATTTAGTTCTGATAAATGTTATCTTTAAACAATATTTGTATACTCAGATAATTCAGATTATGTGATCCAGAAGATACTTGGTTATGAAACCATCAGTCAGTTTGGAAGATTTGCACACACCGTTATAGACCTAGCCTCAAATGCTTTCACACCAAAATGGTTGCCAAACTTTAAGGAATTGGGAGCTGGAGATGGGCGGAGTTGCAGTAGAATTTGTACATAATATCAGAGGTTAGAAACTTTTAGAGAAAAAAAAATGAAACATATGTGCATGCACTCCCCCCCCCCCACTTTATTTGATTTCCTCTCTAGTGGGGAGGAGAGAAAGAGGTCATCAGCTCTGGTATACATTTTCCACCCAAGGCAATAATAGCACTCCACTGAATTATACCTGGATCCAAGTCTGGATTCTGCTATAAAAATATAGTAGCCAAAAATTGGAGGCCCAGCTTGCCCAGTCAGAACCATACAAACCAGCTAATTCGAACTTTCGGTGTTAATATCTTTATTCCTGGCTTCCTCAGCAATCCTTTTAGCTATGGAGCTTAATTTCTGGGTCTGTTAGCACCATTTATTATATATTGTGTAGGACATTCAAGCACATAGTAATAAGTCCTCGGTTATTATCACGAGATTTTAAAAAAACTAATATTGAACAGTGAATTGTAAATAAAACATGCATCCTGCTAAACCTATTCCAGATTATTTCCTTAACCCAACTAATATTAAAATAGCTTCTAGATATCTCAGTTCAGTTTCTCTAATCTGTGTTTGCTGTCGGCCATCTTGGCATTGCCCTGCAATAATCTAATTTTATACTTATTTTAACACACTCTTCCCCTTTTTATTGGTTTTTATAATAAATTTGTCATCTATTCTGCGTATTTTACACCATAGGCAAGAATGTAAGAATTTGTATTATTTCTCTCTCTCTTTTAACTTTATTTATATAATATTTCATCTTCCCTCTCCCTTTCCCTCCTCCTCCTCTCGATTTTTGGCCTGTGAGAAGCTGAATGAAGAGGCCTAGCTGAGCTTTTATTTCTCAGTCTCTAAATTCTAAGATTGAACTGCTTACCTGCCATTAAGTTTGTTTCTTCCCTTAAATGCTCAACTCTAAAATGATAATGATTTTATAAATGCAATAAAAACACAAAATTCTTCCTCAAAAAGCCCTTAGACTTCAGCGTATCAATTATTTTTCCCATTCATTGGCTATGCAAACTTCTTTCTATTTATTTAAGAATGTTGGTGTCTAGGGACTTAATAACTGCTGTTCTGCTCCTGCATCTTTGTCTTTGGTCATATCCCTTTGCCTCTTTTTAAGGCCAAGTAAGGATAGGGAAGAATTGTCTCTTTTACTCAAGAGTGATAGTAAGTCTCTTTCAAGAAAAGTAAGGAGAAAACAATGGGCAAACTTTTATAACCAATAATGTTATAAGAATCAAGAATGAACCTCAAATTTCCCTATTTCAAGCCAGGTTGTCTTCCACTTATTTTCTCGATACTGGAAAATGCAGTTATTTGTAGACTTTTACACCTTGTTGCTGGTTAATCACTGCAGAGTTACATGTTAATTTTGTTTGTTTATTTAACTGCATTTGTATTCTGCTGTGTTCCAAAGATAGTAGCCAATCCCATGCAACACTCTTAATCTCAAAATGTTCTCTTAAAGAGCCAGGTCTCAGCTGCCGGTGTGCATTTACATCCCTTCTTTCCCTAATATTTTCATTGTTCTGTTGACAACCCTCCAAAATATATTGCAACCACAATTATGCTGCCTCTGTCAGTCTTACATTATTTATAATTTATTATGCTTTCCTCATTTATGAATTTCAGCTAAGTCTCTAAAAGAAGCTACCCAATAGACCTCCACTTCGTAGGCACAACACATCACATGTGAAAGTAACTGAAAATACAATCACAGTGCCTAGGATTTTTTTTTTAATAGTATTTTATATTTGTGAAATTAATGTTGGTTGAATTACTTAGCTGGGGCTCCTAAATTTGAACTGCTGAAAACAACTACCACTAGATGAGAACAAAGACTTACCCAATTTCTCTATCACTTTGCTGCCATCTAGTGATCATCCAGAGGTTTGCAGTCCAATCTGATAGCCCTAACTTGAACTTTGGCTGAAATAAATTTATGGAAATATGAGAGAAGCACTACTCTGCTTTGGATCTGAGATGTTCCAGTTGTTCAGCACCATTATATACAGATGGAGGTCTCTTTATCTTAAAATTACTGTGAAATACAGTCCCTAAGTTTGTATATTGTTATGGTTATTGTAAACTTTATCTCTTATTGGTAAGTAATTTAAATTACTCTCCTGTTAATTTAATGTGGCTTACATACTGCTTTCTCTCTGAGAATGCCTTGCCTTTGCAAAATATCTCTGAGGTTTCACAAAGAACTTGGATTAATTGGTGTTTGGCCTAAACTGTTTCACTGTTATCTGAAATTTATTTCATTGTGGGTAAACCTTAGCTAGCATGAAACTGAGCAAAATCAGGGAGGCAGTGAAGGACAGGAAGGCTTGGCGCGATATGGTTCATGGGGTCACGAAGAGTCGGACACAACGACTGAACAACAACAACAACAACAACAAAACCTTAGCTGTTTAGAGAGGGATATTATAGCAAGAGCAGCACATGGTAATATGATGCATCATAGAAACCTGGTTATAATGTCAAATGTAACATGGAAACCATTAATTTAATCTACATTTGTCTGTATGAACATGAGAACTATTTCTGCCCCTACTTACCATTGAAGTTTCAGTTTCCATGGATAAATTATAAGAGCTTATGTAGTCTGATGGTACATTATTGGAGACATCTTATATACAGCTGGGTATTGTATGTGTAATAAGAGAGTATGGTTGGAATATTCTCTTCTTTCAAATTCACTGCTGAACTGAATGTATATTTTCTTCATTCTGTGGTAACACCATCTCAATAGGAACCAAATTTCTTTCTCCTGTTTATACCTTTCATCAAAAAAAAAAAAAAAAGGCTACCTTTCACTCACTACTTTGAAATTGGGAGTATGCCTTTGTCAACTGGAATACTTTCCTTGTGATTTTTCCTTGATTTCATATGTAATCTGCTGTCTAGTAATACTGAACTGCCCATAACCTGAACTTCCAGATATTAAAAGCTTTAGGAGCTCTGACAAAATGTATGATAATTCCCTTCACTGTTGTATTAAAACTATCCGTGGAGTAGCATGGTGGCGAGCTTTAGGTAGCAACAAAAATGTGCCCTTTGGTCTTTTGTATGCCAAGGTCCCAGGATGAATTTCTGGCATCTCTGGGTAAAGCCTGTCAGGTGGCAAGGTCGAGAAAGGCCTATGCTAGAAACATTTGGAGCACTGTAGCTCTGAGATTAAGGCACTGATAAATGGCCTGATTCACTTTTATTATTTGTACATGGTACTTTTGTATCATGCATTAACAAATATTCTTCTGATTTACAAAAAAAAAAAAAAATTAAGCAGTAATACATAAGGAACAGTAATATTTAAAAAGAATTGAAAACATAAAACAAGCAATAGATAAAATATTGGTGGGGAAGATATTTTTTGCTTAATAGAAAAGCTTGGGAAAATTATACAGACAGACAGATAAATACACACACAGACACATGCATACACTGCTGAAAATACGACACTATAGGAGCTTGAAGAGCATTCCTAGAGAGCGTTGCACAACTAGAGCAGCATCAAAGCTTTCTTCCTTGTAATCACCTGCCTCACTTTATTTAATGGGGCTACTCAGATTTAAGTCTCTGAGGATTTTCTGGGCAACTACATGTTGAAAAAATGCTCCTTCAGATAACTGGGCCCCAGGCTATTTAGGATTTAAGATTATGAAATGAACTGGGAGCCAAACTATTGATACAATGTGTTCATGGCCAACTCATAGATTAATCTGACACTGGCTTCATTCTAGTTTCATCAAATGTTTTTCAGATATTCACATATCTTAGGAAAGACTTCTATGACCTGCCTCAAGTTATTCATGAAGCATTATAATAAGAATGGGCAAAGAATAAGCTAGAATATAAATAGACATAAAATTACTTTCTTGGATCCTAGTGTCATACTTGATGGTGTTTCCTTCTTCAAACTCTTGGTAAATATCATTTCTGATACATTTTGTTCTTACATGTATTTCCTTGCACAATGAAGGAACCCAGGGAGCATGTCATAATAATAATAGTAACTGAGTAATTCCGGGGGGTGGAGGTGGGAGTGGGGAGAAGCATCAAGATTCATAGATATAAGTAGAACAATCCTAGGTTATATCCAATTATTGTTGAGGAAATTGCTGCCTTGTTTTAATTCTATTTTCTCTTTATTTTTTCCCCTTGCTCCACACTATTTTTTGTGCCTTGGATTGCTGATTTGAAATAACTAGGAGATAACTTGTTAAGTGGTTTTGATTAGCTTTTCTTATGATATGCAGGAGAGTTGCTGTTGCAGACATCTTCATCCTTTATGCCACTATACTTGGTCAAAGTGTCTTCTCCTTTCTCAGGTTTCCTCATCTGACTGAAGCAGGCGTTTGCCAATACCTAGGAAATACACTATAAGGGTCAACTTTTGTGTTGAGATTGTTGGCGCTTATGATTATGGGGCATATCTGAAAGCATGTAGAAATGAGTGTGAGCCCACTCCGTCACAAACTGCATTTGCAACTTCCAAATTCT